TGGTGGCCCTCCCCCGCCTGGAGCAGGTCAAGATCATTCCTTCATTCACCTCACCAACATTTATGGAGCGCCAACTATGTACCAGGCACTGTTCTGAGCACTGGGAACACAGCAGTGAGCAAGACAGACAAGAACCTGACCTTCATGGAGTTGACATTTAGGGAGGGAAGGACCATAAAGAAAATAAGCAAGTTCTGAGCAGAAATCAGGGTCGGGAAGAAAATTACAACAGCACTGTGACTATGTGACTTTGTCCATGAATCAGGCCTGAGAAGGTGAGGCTGGAGCTGAGACAAGAATGCACACAGAAAGAGGAGGGAGAAGTTCCAGGCAGAAGAAAGCCAATGCAAAGACCCAGGGGCAGATAAGAGACAGCCTGGAGAGATAGGGATTCGTGGAGATGCCTCAAGACTAGAGCCAGGGAAAGAGTTATGTTTTGAAAGGGGGTTGGGGAGGGGTAGAATCTGCAAGAGGTTCCCTGGGTTCTGGATCTCATCTTTCTGGGGCTCAGCCCACAGTCACCTCCTCCCTGTTTTATTTCCATTACAGCACGTGTCAGGAAATGAAATGCTTTTCTTTGCTGGTTTGTCGAGGACGACGGTCCCTCTGCCCCAGTCCCAGCGGTTCAGAGGCAGGGAGACCCGTGTAGGTCAGCATTTCCTCCCACCCACGACGCGGTTCTGTGCGTCCCGCCCTGGGCCTGGCACTGCTCAGGAGCCTGTAAGCGGGTGGCTGGCCGGCTGCCCACTCCCCTGTGTCTGCCAGAGCGCCCTCATCCACAGGGCCCAGGGCGCCTCTCGGCCTCCTTTCCCGTGCCAAGGGCCCGGGCTTGCCTCTCAATCTTTGGCCAATCGGTCAACGGTGACCCCTGGGCGCTGGACACTTTCCTCAAGTAAGCGACAAGTGGGGGATTGCGCATGTCCCGCCTGAGCCCAGCCACCAAGGCCTGGAGAAGGGAGGCTTAAGTGACCCCGCCGCAGCCTCTAGGGCTGCCAACCCCAAAGTGCAGATCCAGCCCCCTAACGCCGCGGGGTCCCCAGGCCTCCGTCCAGGCGGCGCCCCCTGGGCCTCTCGCGAGGTTTCAGTGGCTCCCTGGCCACCCCGCGAGTCTCGCCGTCCAACAAAACGATCAGATCCGGGCCGCGCCCTCCTGGCTCTGCGCGGGGCCGCGCGAACTCGGGGGCGCCCGTGGCCGCGGCGCTGGGTTCCCCGATTCCCCAGCACGACCGCAGGGGCGTGTGCCGCCCACGGTGGCCGCAGCCGGAGCCCAGGCCGCCTCACTCACCCCGCCATGGCCGCGCTCGGGCTCCGCCTCCGCCGCCCGGGCCCGGGCGCCTCCATCTCTGCGCGCCGGGGGGAGGCGCGGAGCGCGCGCAGGTCACCATGACTAAGCAGAGCCGGGCGCACGCCGTTTCACAATAAAAGTCCCCCACGGCCCCTGGCCTCGGGCGGCGGGGACAGGAGGGGGCCTCTCCCCACTCCCCCGCCCCGCCCGCTGTCGCCAAGCTACGCGGCCCCAGAGCTGCTACCACAGCGCCCGCCATTGCGACGCGGCGGGGCGGGAGACCTCGGAGAGACTGGCACCCACCCGCGTGCCTGGAGTCAGAGTCCCGGGTTCGAGGCCCGGTGCGCCTTACCCTCTCCGTGGACACCCCTCTCCGCCGCCCCCGCCAGCTCGCCCACCTTACCCCCGGTGTCGCCTCCGTAGATGTCCTCGGAATAGGGATGCCCAAGGCCAGGCGGAGGCTCTGGGCACAGTGGTGCCACCCACGCGCAGCGTTTCCGGGAAGCCCGAGGGTCCGAGGCCTGGTCGGTGGCGACTCCAGCTTAACTTCTTAGTGTGGGACCAACTGTCGGGGGACCTCGGTTCCAGGACCCAGGTCCTGGAAGCACTCCACAGTGGCCTTCGGGTGGGGGGTATCCACCCAAAGCGCGGGAAGGAGGCGGGGAGAGGGCGGAAAGGGCGCGGCGGGGTAGAAGAGGCGATTCCCCGCCTTCCCCGCAGGTGCCGGTCCTCCTGGAGCCGGGCATCGAGCTAAGCTGGCCTGGCTTATGCTCACTTCGTGTTGTCCTTTCCATCCGTCCAGTTTCGTCCCAGGGCAACTCCACCACCTGCTTTTCTCCTTTTTACTCCACACAGCCCAGGCCTGAGTCCCGCAGCCTCATGATCCAGCTAGAATTATCTACCTTGTTGGGTTTTTGTCGTCTACCCTGGATCTGCCTCTCCACAGCTCGGTGCTTTTCGCCTGTTCCTTAACCTCTCTGTGCTTCAGTTTCTTCCCTATAAAAGGATACTAATAATAGCACCTATAGGCTAAGTGAGAATGCTAAGGCCCAATAAATATGAACGGTTGATATTTTTTATGGTGTGATATTCTGGATTATGGTAGCTGTTTATGGGGCTACCCTGAGCCAATTCGCCATCCTTATAAAGTTAACTTGTAATAAAAGTACTTAACTTTATCTTAAAAGAGATCATCTAAACGAAGAGAATAATAAAAGGAAACGTTAAATGGAATAAGAGATGCTGATTTAAATTTTTTTTAAAAAAAAAAGTATTCCTGGAGCATCTGGGGGAATCCGGTGGACTCAAAATTTGTCTGTACTCCCGGAGACTACCTCTAAACTACCCAGGGGTTAGGGTGGAGTCCCACCTCCTGCACACCCCATCGCACACTCCTTGTGTGAAGCTGCAGTTCCTGACATATCCAGAGGGGGAGACCTAGCGAATGCACCGAGTGGCAGGAGTTGGAACCAGCAGGCTCCTGGCACACCCACCAGGACATCTTGTTATCACTCAAAAATCAAACCTACAGCCCTGTGAACCAGCGGTAGACATTTGTCCACCAGTACAGGATTATGTGCACAAACATTTGCAGTATAATGTATCAGGATTGGACTCAACCCCTTAGTACACAGCCATTTAAAAGAAGTAAAACATTTACTATATGGACATTTATCCCTATTTAAGGAAATGTAAGAAAAGACCAAGTACCATGGACTGAATTACAAACTCTCTGCCCATTCATGTGTTAACCCAGTGGGATGACATTTTGATAGTTTGAGATAGGGCTTTTGAAAGGTAATTTGGTTTTGATGAGGTCATGAAGATGGGACACCCCCATGATGGGATTAGATTATTGCCTTTTAGTTATTGTTGTTGTTGTTGGGGGGGTAGGGCGTTGAAGACAAGGTCTTGCTAAGTTGCTCAGGCTGGCCTCAGACTTATGATCTTTCTGCCTCAGCCTCCCAAATAGCTGGGATTACAGCCCTGTGCCACTGTGTTTGGTGGATGGGTGCCCTTCTAAGAACAGATCTTGCAGAGAGAGATCTTGCTATCTCTGCCATGTGAAGATGTGGTGAGGATGTACTGGTTTGCAAACCGAGAGAGCTCTCGCCAGAACTCAACAATGATCTTGAACTTCCTAACTTCCAGAACTGAGAGAAATAAATATGTGTTATTTAAGCCATCCAGTTTGTTACGGATTTGTTATGTGTTTGCTATGGCAGTTCAAGCAGACTAAAACAGCAAGATCCACATGTGTGGATCATGGGGTGCAGCAATGAGAGCCTGTAGCTCCAGCACTGGGGAGGCTAAGGTGGGAAGGTTGCTTGATCCCAGGAGTTCAGGGCTAGCCTGGGCAACATATCAAGACCTGGTCTCCAAATACATAGTTAAATGATGTTTCCAAGACATGCTATTAAGTGAACAAAGCAAGATGTAGAAGTGTTGAGAGCCACAGCCCAGTCAGAATGACGCCTGGCATTTGCCAGAGGGAATGGCAACCATTGAGATGATGATTGGAATTAAGCTATATATAATTGCTGTGATGCTGGATTGATTGAATTGTATATTTGACCTTTACTGTCAGGCAATAGGGGGGCTCTTGCTGCCTGGGCGCCCGCTACTTTGGAGTTCCCGGACAGTTGGGGGGGGGGGGTTCGGAGAGATTGGACAGAGCCCGGTGGAGGCAGTGTGTTCCCGAGTGTGCAGTGCCGGTGAGAGTTGGGAAATAAAAGAGTTGCTGTTTGAATCTACAAGGCTTTGTGGCAGCTTGGTTATTTGTGCCCAGCCATACTGCGGCATTGAAGAGTGATAAATTGGAGTAAGAGAGAGAAGAGAGATGTTTGCATTTCAGTTCATTTATCCACAAACTAGGTCTGAAATTTCCCCAGGAATCCCAACAGTGATCAACAGTGATGGTAACCCGGAAGGGGAGCTGAGTGCTTTTCTAATGTATTTTGGGGGGGTTGCTTTTGTTTTTTAATCTATAAATCCCCTATCATCATACCACCAACAAAGGGAACCAGGGTGGGGTGTCCAAGGAGGTCTTGGATTCTCCTTGAAGATTAGAGAAGCCTACGGGTAGGAGTTCTGGGAGAGACCTAGGACTGTGACCTCGGTTTTGGTGTACTCATGTTCCAGGAAACATGTTAGTTGTACACGCATGTGGCCTGAAGAAGCAGCCTGAGCATGGCTCCTCAAGACAGTCAGCGACCCCTACATCACTGGTCTCTGCGGCTGCCTGCAGTACCAAGGCCTCCCGGAAGATGGCGCACCTCAATCTAAACTCCAAGCCAGACGCCCCCTCTCCGCCCCTGGGCCAACCCCCTCAATGCAGCGGTCAGGAATGTGCCTGGGGACTAGCCGGGGCCAGGGTCAGAGCGCCTACAGCCTTTTATGGACACAAACGGGGCCCTGGTATCTCCCCCAAGCAAGAATGTCGACCCTAGGGCGGAGGCGCATTGGCCTGGTCTTGCCAGACCCATCCAGGGGCCAGATAATGGGGTTGGCCTCCTCCCGCCTGGGGGCCAGACAGCCTGGGCTAATAATCTGGTCAGGACACTGGGGAGAGGTGCTCACTGCTTGGAGTTTCTTTATCTGTAAAATGGGGAAAAGGACAGCTAGTTTACAAGGTTACAAGAGGGTGAAAAAAATAAGTGATTCCTGGGCATAGCACAGTGGAGGGGACTAGCCAAGCGTTATAAACTGTAACCACTCATTTTATTATAATTTTATTTTTAATGAATTATCTGACACTACACTCAAAGAAATTTTGTTGTCAGGATTTGGCTGAGTCTCCCAGAATCAAATTTTGGGATGCCCTGCTCTTGGCATTGCTCCTGACAGCTTTCTTTCCCTCTTTCTCACACCCAATTTTTTAGGAATTCTGTCTGCTACCTCCAAAATCTATCTAGAATTCACCATGTGTGAGCATAGTGGGGGTCTCCCTCATTACTCCTTGGGTCAGTGCTGTCCCTTCACCTGTTTCTGCCTTCCACCTTTGCCCTCCACACTGGCCATAAGGTGCCTGTGAACACCTGAATCAGGGCCAGTCCTTTCTTTTGCTTAGAACCCCTCCTGACTCTAACTTCCTTTAGAGCAAAATTCCAGGTTCCACAGGGTCTTCTACATTCTGCCCAGTCACTTCCTGTTCTTATCTCCTCCCATTCTCTCCCTATATCTGCTGCTCTGCCCACATGGAGATCCTAGCTTTTCATAGAATACATGGGCACATTCCAACCTCAGGATCTTTGTACTTGCTGTTTTCTCATCCTGAAATACTCTTCCTTCAGGTGTTCCCCAGGACAATGACATCTCAGCTCACATTATGTGTCATCACCTCTACACTGTCCCATACCGTCCCTGTAAGGTCACTGGAATTATCTCCATTATTATTACATCACTGTGTTGTCCGTTGGTTCCCCTACCAGAACGTCAATTCCACAAGGATGGAAATTTTTTGTCTGTTCTTTTTGGGGAGTTTACATTTTCCCTTTGTCTCTTCTGTCTCCACCGTTTTTGGTTGTGTCTCCTACAAATTTCTCTTTTAAAAAAGAAAAAGTCTGCAAAAGAACTCTTGGGAAAGTCAATGACAGATTGACGGCGTCAATCTGCTACCGGTTCGGGTACCAGGGTCCGAGGAGCTGTGGGCGCATTGGAGCCGCTGGAGTCCAGTCCATCTCTCTGGGGCGATGAGCGCTCAGAGCGGCTGGAGCTGGGGTCCAAGTCCTGGGGTAGACAGCGGCGCAGGCCGCCTGAAGCCCCAGGAGCGCTTTCAGATAACTGGACACTGCTCGGGCCTCGGCTGCAGGGACGGCGGCCGCAGCAGACAAGGCGCAGGAGCGCATGACGCAGGTCACGGTTGGTGAGCGTGTAGATGATGGGGTTCAGAAGCGAGTTGGCCATGGCCAGGCCCAGGAAGGGGTCGGCCTGCAGGAGCACAGGACAGGCGCGGGCGGGGCATGCCACGTCTAGTAACAGCAGCAGAAAGAGAGGGCCCCAACACACCACGAAGGCCAGGAGTACCACGCTGAGTGTGCGCAGCAGCGCCAGGGATCGTGGTGTGCGGCGCGAGCGGGTGGAGGTGCCTTTGCTAGCCCCTGGTCGTGCTCGCAGTCGCCGTGCATTGGCTCGTACCTGGCAGTAGATGCGCGTATAGAGTGCACAGATGGCCGCCAGGATGCCCACGAAGGCGAGGACGCAGAAGAGCACGTAGGCCTTGGCGTAGAGCGGCAGCACAGTGGAGCAAGCCTCCAGGCGACCCAGACAGTTCCAGCCAAGCGCGGGCAGTAACCCGAGGAGCAGCGACACGCTCCAAGCTGCGATGGCCATCGCCAGTGTGCGCCCTCGACTGGCAGCTGGCGCGGGTCCCCGGCGCGCCATGGTGAGATGGCGCTCGAGTGCAATGGCCAGGAGGCTCAGCACCGACGCGGCAAGCGCCACAAAGACGCCTCCTTCACGAGCGAACCAGAGCGCAGGTGACAATCGCAGCGTGAGTGGCCCGGACAGTAGGATGTTAATGGCGTAGGCAGCACCTGCTAGCATGTCAGACAGTGTGAGGCTGCCCAGGAGCAGGAACATGGGCGCATGGAAGCGCGGATGGCGCCCGAGCACGAACAACACCGCCAAGTTCTCTAGCACGATGAATGCGCATACCGCCAGGCACGCCACAGCGTCTGCACGCAATCCTGCGCCGGGCTGGTAGCGCGCTCCGCGTAGCTTGCCGGTGTAATTGTAATGCAGGACAATGACCTCGCTCACCGGCGCTGGTCGCAGCAGCCCTGACTCCATGGGCTGCTGCCCCAAGGCTGCGAAGAAGACAGGGCAGTGTCAGTACGGCTGTTCTCTCTGAGGACTGTCCCAAAGCCAGCAAGGTAGGAACAGACAAGGTCTAGAAGGCCCCCCCCCCCCCCCGGGAAAGGGTCCCTAACCCCAACCCACTACTCTCTCACACTCGCTCAGGAGAGGTTCAAAGAGCGTTCCGGATGGGAGGGGAGTGTCTATGGAGAAGATACACACGCATAATATCAGGAGGGGACAGGATGACGCACAATTCTCTATAAAAGGAACACTAATAACACAAGCAGGAATATCCAGAGGCATATTTAATCATGACAGGAACACCCAAAAACACAAGAGACATGCAGAAAGAGACACACAAACACAGTAACAGGAGTACGTGTGCACACACGTTCACAGACAAGGGCAAAAATAGTTTTGCCCCACCAAACAGAAGAAAAAGCGAAAATACATTCAGACATGGGACTAGTGACAAAGGCAGAGAGAGATAAGCAAGAACACAAAATTCAATCTCAAGACAGGGCTCACACTGTAGCACAGGCCACAAATTCACAACCTCCATCCACCCACACCCAGCCTGTAACTCAGAGCCCCACACTCCACACGCCCTGCTACACACAAGGTTCTTTCCTGGAGAAAAAAAAAAAAAAAAGACAGAAACCTAATCCTACCCACCCATTTGTCAGAGGCAGAGCTCAAGGGCAGTGGTCAGAATCCTTAGCATAGACAGGATTTTGCAGAGAGACCCACATGTCATTAAATCAAAATAATACTTCACACTAATGAGTGTGCCCTTTAATCTTCTTGACAATTCTATGCTAAGTCCCAATTTCCAGATGAGGAAACTGAGGCTCAAAAGAAATAATTCTCATGGACGCTGGTGCAGAGGTTTTCTGACTCTCACATAAACACAAGTCACGGAGATGGGCTGGGATTGTGGCTCAGCGGTAGAGCAGGTGGTTAGCACAAGTGAGGCCCTGAGTTCGATCCTCAGCACCACATAAAAATAAATAAAAATACAAAGGTATTGTGTCCAACTACAACTAAAAATTAAATATTAAAAAAAAAACATGGGGCTGGGGCTGTAACTCAGTGGCAGAGCACTTGCTGGTGATTCCCAGCACCACATAAAAATAAACAAATAAAATAAAGGCATTCTGTCCATCTACAACTACAAAAACATTAAAAACAAAAAAACAGTCACACAGAAATGGTTTCACTGTCTCGCGGCTCCTACTTAACAGACAAGAAATCCAAGACTGGGGAACAGAATTTTTTGCACACCGCCAGGGATAAGTGCATCTCAGAAAGCTTCAGTCGCATACCGGGAGCCACCCGCCAATATAGACAACACGAGGAGTCACTGATTCGGCCACCCTGGGGCCGGGGGAGGCTCCAAATACACAGAGACGCCGGTTACGCAGTGTCTGACCCATACAGCGCGCAGAGGCACATAGCTTCTGCACCAACCCCCTCCACCAGGACTGAAATAGCGGAACTTGGAGTAGTCTGTCCAGGAAAGGGAGAGGGCAAGGTTTTCCGAAAGCCCCCAGCCCCATCTCGGACCCTGAGCCACGCCAGAGAGTCGTCGGCTTTCCCTCCCTAGAAGCCTCGGGAAAAGGATCGGGAAAGCCCAGCAAGGAGTCCTGTGCGTTTCCAGGCCCCAGAGTGGTCAAGGCATGCAGAGCCCGGTGCCCTCAAGGGTCTAATGCTGGATACTCACCCGTGTGCCCAGGTGGTGTGCTGCCTACAGCCGAATGTGCAGCTCGGGGGCGGGTCTGGAGCTGGCAGTCTAGGGGGCGGGTCCGAGGCGGGGAGGGACAGCGATCGCAAGCGGTTACCCCTCCCGTTGGGACCTGGGCACTCAGCCCGTGGCTGCCAGCCGGTGCCACCCGCCGCGGCACCGGAGAGCGCCCCGGCGGCGACTGGCACCAGCGAGCCCTCAGCTTCCCGCTCGGGGACTGGGCTGCGCTCCCAGGGACGCTCCGTCGCGGTGAGAGAACCTGGAGCCCTGCTTAGGGGAGGTTTCTTCAGCGCGGGCGGCCCCAACCTAAAGGGCTTTTCCCCACTCCCATCAAAGAGATCCTCTAGAGCCTCAGCACCGCCACTCCTCACTTTCCACACCCTCCTGGGTTGCGCCCCAAGGACCCCTCATTAACCGAGGACCAGGCAGCGCAGATTAGCAGGGGTCTTGAGCAGGGACGGAGGTCCTCGAGCTTGTGTCCTCTCGCTGTTGCGGATAAGTCCCTACTGCTCCCAAGCAGAGGCCCCTCCCCATTTCCCTCCAACTCCCCGCTCCGGGAGAATGGGGGAGGGGCTGACACAGGCAGGATTCAAATGGGAACTTCCCGGTCCCCGGATAAGGAGGGTCTGAATCGTCTAGCCTCCTGGTTCCTGCATTCCCCGCACCCGATCTCTCCCATTCTTATCGCTCCTGAAGAGGTGATTTACTTATATGTTGTGTTCTGGGCTCTGTCCCCACTGTCACCTGTCGCCTCCATGGGAGCAGGGTTGGTACTGTCATAGGTACTATCAAGACACAGCCAGTAAGTACCCACTGAGGAGTGTGAATGAATGAATGTTTCCTTCACTTCCTCTGTGTCTCTCCTCGGTTCTCTCAAAGTCTCTGTTCTCTCTCTCTCCCCATCTCTGTGTCGCTCTCCCACGCCTCTCCCAGGCCGCACCTCCTCCAACCCGCCAGTCCCAGCTGGCCACACACCAATCCTCCCCTCAGTTCCCGGAGCTTCTCGGAGGGCCAAGCTCCCCAGCCCTCAGACCAGAGGCCACAGCCGGGAAGGGGCCTGGGTCTGTCCTTCCTTGGGACATGCCCTTTGCCTGGTCTCTCCAGGCACTGCTGGCAGCAGGTGGGGTGAGGATGCCCCAGGAGAGATGAGACAGAAGTCGAGGACGGGGATGGATCGAGCAGTGTCCCTGTGGGAGGAATCATGAGGGCGCCCAGGTCAGGTCCCCTAACCCTTTAGGAATCCTCGCAGATCGCGCCCTGGTGTGTTCCCTAGGGAATCCTGGTGCTTCCGCCCCCGCTGTTCCCGAGTAGGGAGAACGGCCCCTGCTTGCTCAGGCCAATCATAGACACGCGCGGGGGCAGTGCAGCCAATAGGATCCCGGGGGAGGGGCGTTAACCCTTCAGTACCCAGGTCCTTCGGCCCGAAAACTAAGCCCTGGGCTCGTAACCAGCCGAAATGAGAGCCGAAGATCCCCCAAGGCCATGGTGGCCTCTCCTAGCACCAAATAGGTGCTCGATAAAAGACCTCCTTCTTTAAGGGGAAACAGCACCCCAGGGGAGTGAGATGGCCCCTTCACACCTCCCAGGCGGCAATCTCACCTCCCTGTGGGGCAGAGTGGTGCTCTTCCGGTAGTGGGCCCCAGGCTTAGCACCCTCCACTCTGGCCTCCTCCCTTTGTGCCTCTTTCCCACGGAATGGGACCCTGAGGACTCAGGCTGCGGCATATGGGGCAGATGTCAGGAGTCCCGTGGAGAAACGATGCTCCCATCCCTAATGTCTGCTCCACCATGTAGCCACAGTTCTTAATATACAGACTGATCTCTCCCTGGCTCTAAATCCTCTCATGGCTCCCTAGGTTGCTCAGAGTAAACTGTCCTCCGAGAGCCCACAATTCTTTACTTGTCCCTTCTATACACCCCAGCCGCATCATGCACTTAGTTCCAGCCCCACTGGCCTTCTTGGTCCTCAGACATCTCAAAAGCTTTGAATTTGAAGATCAATCTACCTGGAATGTCCTTCCCCAAGCTTTTCCCAGCTGACATCTCCTCAGAGAGGCCTTCCCTAATCTGTTCCTCTCCTCCCCATTCTCAAAGGCAGCTGGCATATCTACAGTTAATTTGTTCATTTGTTCATCTGTGTGTCTCTGCCCTAGAGACTCAGTTCCAAGAAGGCAGGGATCCCTGCCTGTCCAGCTATCCAGATGTGGAAAGGTTAATGGCTCAGAGTCTGGAGTCAGGCTCAGCCACTTGGTGATTTAGAACACTAGGAAGGACCCCTCTGAGCCTTAGTGGTTTCATATGTAATATAGTGGTTTTATCTGTAAAATTGAGATAATCACAGTGCCCACTCCCAGGGCTGTGGAGCATGAAAAGTTTTGTTGTTGTTGTTGCTATTGTTTGTTTTTTATGTGGTGCTGAGAATAGAACCCAGGGCCTCAAACGTGCTAGGCAAGTGCTCTACCACTGAGCCACAACCCCAGCGCCCCCCCAGCATGAAGAGTTTTAATAAAGATTGGGAGTACTATGAGAGCTCCATAACTATTAGTACAGGTTAGCATTGATTGCCACTATATCCCTAACCCTCAGACAAATTAGGAAGGATCAGGGTTCAGGCCCCATCTGTCCAGGGCACCACCACCCCCACCCCATCCCCACTCCCACTCACCAGGCAGTCAGGTTTCACCCTTGGCCTCCCTGATCCTGCTGCAGCCTGCCTGCCTAAGGCTTGCCTGGGCCAGCACACCTGCCCAGCAGGTTCTGCTGGGCTCTTGCCCACAGCGGCTGCCCCGCCCAGTCTGTGCCCACTCTCTGGCAGAGCAGGGTCTGTCTTGCATGGCCCCTTCACACCCCTGACCCACCCTGAGAGCCAGTAGGCTGCTTCAGCAGGAAGCTTCAGGGCTTCCTATTCCCACCCCTCCTCCACACAATCCTGACACTTGAACTTGACAGCAGGAAGGTGTGAACTGACAACTTTCCCATGGCCAGAAATCAGAGCTACAGGGTTTGTGGGGGGTGGTCTCAAACTGGAGGCCAGAGGGCCAACTTTGGCTCCTACCCACAGGCCGATATGTTCAGCTCTGTCAGATTTCCCCCTCAAACAGCAGTCAGAAAAACTGTATCCTTGTCAGTAAATTTGTTTCTCACAGGTGTACAGCTTAACAATTCTAAAGATATCTGCATGCTAGAGTTGAACAAGTACAATTATTTTGTAGATATTGCAGCCAGGTTTTATACTATTGGAGAAGGAAGGTTACAAATAAGTTACAAATAAGCAATGTGGTGCTGGACTGGGGTTATCAGTATATCATGTTTCTCTTAACACAGAAGAAAATAAATATAGATACCTGTGTATACATGGGTTAGTACATATACACAGAGACACTGCTATGGTTTGTCCTCTCCAAAACTCATGTTGAAATTCATTCCCACTTGTGAAATATTAAGAGTTGGAATCAGGTGGGACCTTTAAGAGGTGATTGGGATCTTCTCTCATGAGTAGATTAATTAATGGATAAATGGACTAATCCATTAATTATCTTGAGAATGGGTCTGCTATAAAAGTCAGTTTGGCTACATTTCTTCAGAGCCCCAGGTCTCTAGACACATTTTATCATGCACTACCTTGAGACTCTGCAACGCCATCACCAGAGGGGCCCCTTGACCTTCGACAAGAAACATGAGTCAAAATAGACTTCTTTATAAATTACCTAGTCTGTGATATTGTGTTATTTTCAAAATAAAATAGATTTTAAACCACATCACACACACATAAACACACATACTTCCCAGTTCTGCTGAGAATCCAATATAATGACACCCCAAGAGCAATGTGTACACCCAGCACCCTGATCTTGGTTTCTAAGTACCATTTTCTGATGTAAGGAACCAGCTCTCCTCTGGGGAATGGTTAATTCTAGAGGTTGAGCAGAAAAACAAGTACACACACACACAAAAAAAAAAAAAAAAAAATGAGCCTGAAGCATCTTTCATTGCTCAAAAGTACTTTATTTTAAGCTGAGTCAGTGGTGCATGCTTGTTATTCCAGCAGGAGGATGGTAAGTTTGGGGTCAGCCTCAGCAACCTAGCAAGACCCTGTCTCAAAATTAAAAGTAAAAAAGAAAAAGAAAAAAGGACTAGGGGGCTGGGGGTATAGCTGGGTAGACTGCTTGCCTCGAATGCACAAGGCCCTGGCTTCAATCCCCAGCACCACAAAAAAACAAACAAACAGAAAAAAGGACTGGGGATGTGGCATAGTGGTTAAGCAACCTCCAGATTCAATCACTGGTACAAAAACAAACAAATAAATAAGTATAATTTTGTTAAATATTTATTTTTTTAGTTTTTGGTGGACACAATATCTTTATTTATTTTCAAAATAAAATAGATTAAACCACACCATACACACATAAACACACATATTTCCCAGTTCTGCTGAGAATCCAATGTAATGACACCCCAAGAGCAATGTGAGAGAGAATTTTTTTTTTTTAGTTTTCGGCGGACACAACATCTTTGTTCGTATGTGGTGCTGAGGATCGAACCTGGGCTGCATGCATGCCAGGAGAGCCCGCTACCACTTGAGCCACATCCCCAGCCCCAATATCTTTATTTTACATTTATATGGTGCTGAGGATCGAACCCAGTGCCTCATGCATGCTAGGCCAGCGCTCTACCACTGAGCCACAACCCCAGCCCAATAAGTATAAATTTTAAAAAATAAAATGTTGTCAAAACTTCAGCAAAATATTTGGGGCTGGAGTTGTGGCTCAGAGGTAGAGCACTTTTGCCTAGCATGTGAGAGGCACTGGGTTCGATTCTCAGAACAGCATAAAAATAAATAAATAAAGTCCATTGACAACTAAGAAAAAAATACATATTAAAAAAAACTTTAGCAAGATATTTGCATAACTTCAAAGATTCTCCTGTAACATATTTATTAATCACCTTGGTGATTAATGGTTTTGTCCACAAATACTTGGATACTCCTCCCTCTAGATGATGGAGCTCAGTTCCCTTCTTCTGAGGACTAAGTGTCTCCTCCTCCTCCTCCTCCTCCTCCTTTTTTGTACTGGGGATTGAATCCCCAGCACTTTACTGAGCTATATCCCCAGTCCTTTTTAATTTGAAATGGTTTCTCCGTAAGTTGCTGAGAGTCTCACTAAATTGCTGAGGCTGGCCTGGAATTTGCAATCCTCCTCTTTCCCAAGTTGCTGGGATTACAGGTGTGTGCTACCATTCTTGGTTGGAGAGCCTTACTTCCAAAGAACTGAATATGGTCTACACAAACACTAATACAGATATTTGTAGGAGCAGGCTGGGGATGTGGCTCAAGCGGTAGTGCGCTCGCCTGGCATGCATGCGGCCCGGGTTCGATCCTCAGCACCACATACGAACAAAGATGTTGTGTCTGCCAAAAACTGAAAAATAAATATTGAAATTCTCTCTCTCTCAAAAAAAAAAAAAAAAAGAAAAAGAAAACAATTGATATTTGTAGGAGCTTTACTTAGAATTGCCAAGACGTTGGTGGGGAGAAGGGGAACAAGAACAGAAATGAGTTTCCATGCATGTGTGAACCCAACTACTATGTATAACTAGGAAAATCTAATAATAATAATGATAATACATTACAGGGGCTGGGGATGTGGCTCAAGTGGTAGCACTCTCACCTGGCACGCGTGAGGCACTGGGTTTGATTCTTAGCACCACGTAAAAATAAAATAAAGATATTGTGTCCACCTAAAACTAATAAATAAATAAATTTTTTAAATAATACATTACAAAAACATGGAAGCAACCTGGATGACCTTTAGTAGGTGAATGAATAAACTGTGATACATACAGACAGTTGAATTTTATCCAGTGCAAAAAGGAAATGATGTCTCAGGACATAAGATGACATGAAATAAGGTTAAATGTACATACCTATGTGAGAGAAACCAATCTGAAAAGGCTACACACCACACGACCCCAACTACATTCATTTTGTAAAGACAAGTTATGCAGACAGGAAAAGGATCAGTGGTTGCTAGAGATTAGCAGAGAAGGAGAGAGGACTCAGAATTTGGGGGGCAGTAATACTATTCTGTATGAAACTCCAATGGTGGATGCATGTCGTCCTACATTTGCCAAAAACCACTGACTATATACCCAAGAAGGACCCCTAAAGTGAACTATGGACTTTGTGAATTATGTTTCAAATCACTGAGGAATCAGTGGAGGTTCATTGACTAA